TTGTCTGGTTGTTTTGTGTCTTTATCTTCAGAGGTTTCTTTCTTTGGTTCTGCTGTCTCAGATGTTGCTGGTTCAGTGGATGTCTTTTCCTGTAAGAATGAATGAATGAATGATACAAGGCTATAATCTTCAAACAGATCAAAGCCTCCTTTTGAATACCTCTGTACTATTTACGATTTGTCATAAATTGTTTGTCCATTGTTTTCTTAACCAATCACAACATTCATTCTTATGGTTTTGTGATGACCGGTTTAACKTACCTCAGTRACTGTAGTAGGATCTTTGTTATCAAAACTAACAGGCGTCGATACACCTGATGATGATTTGCTAGAAGCAAAAGTAGTGCTGTCTTCAAAAGCAGTGCTGTCCCAACCATTGATAGGAGCAAACTCTTCTACCTGATGATATAGCACAAGGTTTAAGTACTAATGATATAGCACAAGGTTTAAGTACTGATGATGTAGCACAAGGTTTAAGTACTGATGATATAGCACAAGGTTTAAGTACTGATGATGTAGCACAAGGTTTAAGTACTACAGATCACTAGACAATCACTGTAATGATAGCAGATTCAAATACCTTGCGTCGTATCAGACTCATGATTCCAATCCTGGTTAAGACTTGTTGTCTCTGCATTCCTTCTCGTGGTACACCATCACCAAAAACATCTCTGCCATCATCTGGCTCACAGACATGACGCAGAAACATGGCTGAATATGCCCTGCAAACAAGCATACCATGATTACCATGACTTACTTTGAACTAGCGAGTCRATTGATACAGATTGATACAGAAATTTGTGCTACAAATTTATATTAGATTTTTCACTTACTGTATTGCTTTCTCTCCTTTACCTCTCAGATCTCTAACAAACCTAGAAATTAGAAAACACTCATTCAATATTTCACAATGACTTRCTTTACAGAATTGGTAAACATATTATTTGACACTTGTAAAAGAGAGAATAAACGATTTACACACCATTGCGTCTTGGTGAAGTCTTTTTGGGGCGGAAGTCCATACCGCATGACAGCATTAAAGAATGCTTTACGTTGTCTCAAGCTTAAACCATAAACCTAACAACAATAGGTAAGAAACGTTACTAAAGCTATAACTATGTACTTCAAATTACAGATTGCTTTTAAGTATGGATTTTAATAAGTTTTCTTACCTCTAGAGTTCCTTGAACTTTAGCAAGCATGGGTGGTAGAACATCATCTCTGCCTGAWCGTCCTCTCCTTTGCCGCCCTGGAAAGCAAAATAATTGCATCTTTTGTATGGGGTGATATACAGCTGTACAATACATTTTGTATAACACAAGATGTATTGACCACAATTTGCATGTTTAGTGTAGCATGCAAAGAAGTGTTAGTGTTTAAGTAGATACAAATGGAGTGAAAACAGTCTCCTACACAACAAGTTTAAATTATTATTACACTGATATTTTAAAATCTGATAGAATGAGTTCCATCCCTTGTCATGACCACTACATGTAGCTAAAACTGTTTTTTTTTCTTCTGATTTTTCGTTTTAATCTACATGTAATTCAGACTGTTGACCATAGTTTATATGGTGACCTCTTCACATGCAGCTCACAGTAGCATGCTGCTATAAGTGTAAAAATTAAAAACTTTTATTCTTAACTATTTTCTAACTTTGTACACAAAGCAGCCTTTCAACCAACAGGTTTTATAATAAGTCTAATTAGCATGCAAAGGAGACCTTTGCTATAGGTTCCTTTAGTATGGATATCATAGCATACCTTCTGTCTTTTGGTTGAATTCTTCATCTGATTCCTCTTCATCTTCAATGCCACTCAAGTCATCACCTTCAAAATCTGACATGTCTTTGGCCCATACTGTTAGTAAAATACTGCATTAGTTTGACAGACAAGCAT